CGTCTGTGCTCTCCCCTCCCCCCCACCTTCCCTGATGCGCTCCATCCACCCTCATCGCGCCTTGGTTTCTGACATCAAGAGATGTTTCAACTCCTGCCGTTGTCTCAAGTCGCCTCACCTTTTTGCGTTTTCCTGGTGGCGTATCTTCTTTTTTCCTTCTCATGGTGGTGTTTTATTTCCTTCCACTCATTCTGGTCATTCTTTCTTTTCTGCGGACCCAAATAAAAGAGAAAAAGCATGGGCCGGAGAAAGCCAATCGTAGGCAGCCTCCCTGGCCTCGCCCTGCTGCTGCGGGGATGTCCCCTCTCTCCACGGTGGCAGTGAGGAGGGAAGAGGCAGGGGAAATGGAGGGGCAGGGTGTCCCCTCTCCCACAGCTGTCCCACCGTCCACCCTCACCCACATCTCTTGACTCTGTTTGACAGATGAGGACATTCAGGCCCAGAGAGATGAGGTGACTTATTAGTGATTATGTGGCCTTTAGGTGGTGGTGCCATTGGGGCTGCTTCTTTATTTTTAGCCTCCCTTCAACCAAGTCCCTCCCATCTTTAAAAAGCATCTTTAAAAAGCAAAAAGCTTTGTTAAGCAAACCTGACAGCCCAGGGGTCCTGACTGCCGTCTTCCCGGTGCTGACCCCTCCTGGGTGTCCTCGTCATTGATTCTTGGGCTCAGGAATTCTAGACCCTTTTGCACCTCTCCCCATGCCGAGGGCAGAGCTCTGTGAGGCCTCATCTTCCATATGGGGTCTGTAGCCTGCAGGTGGGAGAGGCCTGCAGGATGAAGACTGGGCCGTAGGGAGAGACTCAGATCTGGAATTGGGGTTGGATTTAAAGTCTGGGAAGGTAGGAGCCTGAGATTCTTACAGGGATGTGAAGTTATGGCAACAACTGTGGAGAACGAAGACATCCCAAGGGGGTGGTCAGGACCTGGTCGGTTCGCTCACATCCTTCTTGCCTCTCAAGGCCTGGCTCTGGGGGTGCTGGCTGTGGCTCACCTTTGTCATAGAGAAAGACCTGGAGCATCCAGAACCCCGCCCCCGCCCCTGAAGGGCCCACGGCTCAGGCGTTATTCTAGCTTTTAGTTCTGGGGATTTGGGGTTGAGGTGGAATGGGGGCTCAGACACGGACTTTTCAACTCCATTCTTGAGTTCCCCTCCAGAAGGCGTTCTGTGGGGTCTGGCAATAGGCGTGGGCACCTGGGAGCCAGACGCTGAGTGCACTAGTCACTGGCAGGGGTGGGTGGAGAGCGCGAGCCAGCCTGGAATCCAGATGCGGTGACATGTGCCCGCAGGGGCCTTTGGAGAGGAGGCCCAGGGGTTGAGGAGCCCATGGGGGGAGGTGGGAAGCCATCCCTGAGAAAGGCCTTCCCCATGCATGTGATGAGTCCAGCCAGGCAGAACCCCTTTCGGTGTGCCTAGCCCTGCTGGAGACACGATTTCAAGGGACACAGAGCAAACAGAAATGGTGGCCCTGCCCCTGGGAAGCCCCATGACCTGGTCGGCAAAGAAGGGGACAGAGGTGACATTAAGAGCACTCACGAGTAAGAGAGCCAGGTGTAGACCAAAAGCCAGGTTAGCCTTGAGGATGGGCAGAGGACACAAGAGGTCTCCAGCGTGTGAATCCAGAAGGTTCTGGTGGAGGGGAGCCTGTGTCAGGCTTTTGCAGGAGTCGAAGAGCCGCAGCTCAGTCTCTGCAGGGGAAGTGCGATGAGCAAAGATGTGGAGTGGGGAGGAGAGGCAGGGAGAGGCAGGGAGAGGCTGCAGGTGGAGGCCGGGGCCTGCACAGTCCTGAGGGCTGGCCTGTTTGCACGTTCTTGGGACGAAGGAGCTCCTGAACCGGAACCGACAATGGACACTCTTCCCTCCCCGTGGTCTTTCCACCCCTGGGCAAAGGGCAGACCTTGGTGGCTGTGGGTCTCAGGGGTCTGTGGGGCTGATTCGGTTTGTCATCTGGCTCCTTCCCTAGAGGCCCTGAAGCAAGTGAGTCCCCAGAGCAGCACCCCTGCCCCACCGGTACCTCCAAGCAGGACTTCGGCCCCGGAGAGGGCCCTCCATCACCTCGAGGCTGGGGTGGGACTGGCTGGGTAGCCCCCCCCCCCAACTCCCCAATTCTCACTTCTCAATGCAGATGCCCTGCATTCGAGGGGGGGGCCGGGAGAGGAGGAGCCGGCGATGTGCACCAGCCAACGAAAGGTCAGTGACCCTGACCACAGAGGCCAGCCCTGTGCCGCCCGAGCCACGCTTCCTGGCGTTGGGGGGGGGGGGGGGTGGCAGCTGAGTCAACACAAGCGTGTCCCTTTGTACCGCGTCTGAGGTCCACGAAGACTGCTGGGCCTGCCTCTCTGGTGTAAAGGACCACAAACCTTCACTTTTTCCCCAAGTCCCGGCCATCCTAATGACCTTTTTCGAGGACAAAGAGATGTCTTTTTGTGACAGTTGTTCAGGCCCGTCCCTAGAAAGTACCTGTTTGTCTGGTAGAACGACGGGGAGGCAGGGTAAACCCCCCGTTGAACCCTCAAGTTCTGGAAGCCTGCTAGGTGCCCGCCCAGGGGGATTCTGGTTAGGAGATGTGGCATTCATCTTATGCACGGGTCACCTAAGTGAGCCTTCACAACCTTCTGCGGAAGGGCTCGTTGCCCTTGGTTTACAGATGCGGAAAGAGACGCTCGCCAACCCCCTGAAACCGGCACGGGGCCTTTTAGCCTGTGTCAGGGCTACGGGTTTTAAGCTCCTTTTTCTGCCCCGAGCCTGCCTTTCTTAGAGTCTCTTTCCTAAGTAGTTTATGGGCAGTTAGCAACCGTCAAGGGGCTCCCGCGGGTGCCAAGCACTGGGGCTATCGAATCCCGCCTGCCTTCTATAGTACGTGCTGTTCTGTCGGCCTGGATTTCTGCCATCCCTGCTTTCTTCCCCAACTATCTGGTATCTCTTCCAGCCGGCTCTTGACAAAGCAGCCAGGCCATCCACACTGGAAGTCTCCCCTGAACTCCCCAAGCAAACCCAGACACCGCTCGGTGTCCCCTTTGTCCACACATCCGTTTTATCGCTCGCCACCCTGCCTCCTAACTGTCACTTCACCTGTTTGCCTCTCCCAGCCAACTGAGCTCCCTGGGGACAGCGATTGGGGGTTTTCATTTGGACACCCTCCCCGGTGCTTCCACACAGCTCCCGGCACATGCGTAGGCATGTGCTCGGCAAATTTATTTTCGATGGGTGAGTGGTCTCTGTTCTCAAGGGGCTCACTGACATTCCAACGAATGGCTACAAGAAAGTGTGGTATATGTAAGGTGTAGGAAAAGTGCAGACTTCATCCAGAGGACTTAATTTATTCATTGGTCTCGAGAGTAAGAGGCAGCGCGTGCGCACACAAACACACACACACACACACACACACACACACAGAAAGTTACACACCAGTGCAGGAGTCATTTGTTAGTCGAATAGTTTATAGTTTATGAAGCTTCATTCCATCTGTTCTCTTTCTAGATGCCACAGCAGCCCGCGAGGTAGGTCGGTGGTTAGCTCCTTTGTCCAGAGGAGAGAGCTGCGGCTTAGAGATCTGCCTTTTGGTCAAGGTCACCAAGCTGGTGGAAGAGGCAGCATTAGTGCCCAGGCCTTTTTTCTCACATCACACTTCCTCTCAAGGGAGCAGTACAAGATGTTACTAGGCAGTAAGTGCCAAATGAGCAGAACAGACAGCTGTAGTGCTGGAGAGTAGGGAGGGGCAGAAGGGGGCTGGAGACCTTCCCAGAGGAGGGCTCCGAGCCGGGCCTGGAAATGAGGCAGCTGCTCTGGTCCTCCTGGCTCTTAGAAGTCCAGGACCACAACAACTGGTTTCTGGCCACATTCAGCTTGGCTGGGGGCACTTGGGCTCCGTAGTCCCTGACCATGGGAGGTGAACAAGTGTCAGCCCTGATCCCCCCCTTCCTGTGCAAGGGGGGGCGGTGGAGGGTATGGGGAGCTGCGATTGTTTCTCTAGTGCTGCCGGGAGTTGTAGTTCCCCGGGTGGTGTGCGTGGGATGGTGGGGGAGAGCGCCCCCTGGTGCTTTGGGTCTGGCTCCTCTGAGCGCCCCGCGGCAGGGCAGTCCCCCAGTCCTTACCGCGAGTGTCCCCCACCCCCCCTCCAGCGATCCCTTGAAGTCCTGCTGCCCTCCTCCCCCTTCAGGGTCTGTCTCTGTCCTTCCCGCCATCTTTGGGCTGTCCTGTTCACCTTCGCTCTTGTCTATCCCTCTCCTCAAATTCTTTCCCTCTGTCTCTGGCTGCTCCAAGCCTCCTTCTGTCTCTGGGCCCGTCCGGGTCTCTGACAGCAACGGGAATTGGAGAACGCGTAGACTGCGGCGGCTCCGCGACCGGCTTCGCCTCCTCTCCTAGGAGATCCGAGGCAGAGCCCAGAGGAATCAAGGGATGGCCTCGTTTCTTCATTTCGCCTTGGCAGCTGTGGTCCAGCCCCTGGCCCTCCTCTCTGGTCTCTTTTGTTCTGTCCCAATCACTTCTTCACGTGATTGTTCTATTCTTTCTTTCCGTTTGACTCTCCTTTGAATGATCGTTTGTTCCTTTGCCGCAAAGGTGAGGGAATGGGAGAGGAGGCCTGGCTTCTGGGAGGGACTAGGACATGTGGCAAAGCCAAGGTCAAACATGTTCCTTTCTCTGGTCCTCCGGCCCCCTGGCTCTGCCGGTGCCTGGGCAGCAGGCCTGGTTGCTATGGAAACGGCCAGGCCCCGAGAAAGCCTCGGCTTCCATTCCCTAGAGGTCCCTGTCCCCCTTTCCTTGCTGGCCCTCTTCCTTCCTGTCCCCTCCAGGCTTGCTCCTTGTCTTTAACCAGACTTCTCCTCTCCACCACCTCTTGCTCCCTCGGTGCTCCAGCCGGCTCCCGTTTCCCTTCTGTCCCCAACGGCCATCCTTCCCCCTCTCCGTGGCCTCCCTCTGCATCGCCCTTCTTCCCCACTGGCCCTTGCTGTCTCTGCTTGATTCCCTTTTGCTTCCTGGCCCTTCTTGCTGGAGCCCGAAGGTAGGCAGAGCGGGGTTCTGCCCGTGCCCCCACCAGCCTCGCTGCCCCGTGGCCTCAGGAAACCGGGCCTTGCCAGCTGCAGCGAGCGCGGTGCCAGGCTCTGGGGCAGCAGCTGGTGCCTTGGCATCCGGAGGCAGTGAGGACAGCCTCCGGGCAGCCTGCCCGGAGGGAGAGAAGCGGGGCTGTTGTGTGCTGGGGAAGGGCATCCGCAGAGAGCGCACCCGGGGAGCCGCGGCTTCCACACGTGGCGCTTGCCACCGTGGCCTGGCTCACGGGAGGGCAGGTGTCTTCTGAGGGCTGTGCGTGCGCCCCGGCCTTGCACCCTGCTCCTTCCTGGGCCTGGGGGCCTGTACTGAGAGCCCCCGCCCTCCATAGAGACTTTGTGCGGGCAGTCCTCACGCGCTCCCACGCTGTGCGGTGAGCGGCACGAGCCATCACCGTGCCGCTGTCTGTTGGGGACAAGTGAGTCGCTGTTGTGGTCCAGGTCCTCTGCTCTGCCCTCGGCCCGTGTCCCCTTCTCGTCCCGCTTTGTGCGCTCTAGCTGGTGAAGGTGTCGGGCTACGACCCCAGCTTTCCTCCACAGGCTGTTGCTGTCCTGTCACTCGTCACCCACTTACCGAACGCTACAAATCCCTAAGGCCCTTTCGGTCACGTTGCTTCTGCTTGCCAAGTGCCCGCGGAGGGAGCCCCGTGTGGGGTGCTGATGGGCACACGCGGACACACACATGCACGCACGCGTGCACAAACCCTAGCCACCTGCTGGCGCTCAGGGCTCCCACCCCTGCCCTTTGGGACGTCAGAGGCTCCCGCCTCGGGCCTGTCTGCGCCGCCCTCTCAGGCTGGACTAGAACACGGGGCTGGGGAAGATAACTGGCACGATGGCCGTCGGAACCAGCCGCACCCGGTGGCCCACTGCTGCCCGGTGCACATCGCTGTCACGTGCGTCCCCTTCCCGTGTATCTTCCCAATGCCCTACCCCACCCCACCGCTTCCCCGTCCTCCTTTTCTGCTCCCTGTTGCCCAACAGGCCTGCCGGTCCCATCCCCCACGTGAGGCCTGCAGCTGTCCCGGGGGCACTGAGAATGACCTTCACCAGACAGGAGGCAGGAGTGGGAGGTGGGCTGCCCTCAGGAGACCCTCGGTGCCCCCCACCCCCCCAACAGGGGAGGCGCTCCAGGGGGAAGTCGGGAGGCTCCCCTCTTTTCTCTTCCACATCCCTTTGTTAAAACCACGGAGGGGACGGAGAGTGGGCCAGGGAGGAGACAGCGAGAACGTCTGCTTTGCCTGCCCCGTGGCAGCTGAATTGTCAGCTGTCAGCGTGAGAGCCATTTAGCAGCCTCCCGCTTTGGAAATGGACACGGGGAAGTTGCTTTCTGACAGGAAAGACGGCTGGGTGCAGAGAGGAGGGTGGGCAGGCTGCGAAGGGGTGGGGGGAAGAGGGCCTGACGCCCGCGCCAGGGCTGCCGGAGGGGCAGGGGGAGGTCTGGCGCGCCCCACCCCACTCAGCCTCTCCCGTTTCCCCACGCCACGGCGTCCAGGCAAGGAGGAGTTTGTGGCGACCTTCAAAGGAAACGAGTTCTTCTGCTACGACCTGTCCCACAACCCCATCCAGAGCAGCACGGACGAGATCACGCTGGCCTTCCGCACCCTGCAGCGCAACGGGCTGATGTTGCACACGGGCAAGTCGGCCGACTACGTCAACCTGTCCCTCAAGTCCGGGGCCGTCTGGCTGGTCATCAACCTGGGCTCAGGAGCCTTCGAGGCCCTTGTGGAACCTGTCAACGGCAAGTTCAACGACAACGCCTGGCACGACGTCCGGGTCACCCGAAACCTGCGCCAGGTAGGGGGAGCAAGAAGAAGGCCGGGGGCCGGCTGTGTCTGGGGCCCAACGGGGGTGGGGACAGAAGGCAGCCTGGCACGGGGTCGTCGGGGGCCCGGCAGCCAGGTGTGGTTCTGGAGAAGTTCAAGGCTCGGGCTGTGAGGGCCTGGGAGTGCGGGGGCAGCGGGCAGGATGCAGGCACCAGGAAGCCAAGTTCAGGGGACGCCGCAGAGCTGCCGTGGGGCAGGAGCCTGACGGAAGGGGAAGGGTCTGGCTCACACCGGTGGGGTGGCTAGGGTTTCAAGGGCTGGGGGCTGAGAAGTCAGGTGACCTGGCAAGAGGGCCTTTCGGATTGGCCGAGTAGCTGTGGGTATCCTGACTCTAGGGCAGCAAGGCGCAGATGAAAGCCTGGGGTAGTGTAGGGACAGGGTGTGGCTTGCCCTCAGGCGGGACCTTTCCAGGGCAGAGGCAGGGGTGTGGTGGCGAGGTAGAGGTGCAGCAGGTGTGAGGGAGCACACGCTCAGCCCCACCTCACTCTGGGCAGCACGCCCCTTTCTCCTCTCCCTCCCTGGCTGCCCCAGCAATCCGTGGCTATCTTGCCGTGGCTCCCAGGCCCCTTGCAGGAGCCCAGACGGGACTCTCGGGTCAGCCTCTTGCAGGAGGGACGAGACTCTTCTCTGCGGTGTCTCCTCAGCCCCCGCTCCCAGACTGGCCGCTTGGCGAGGGCCTCAGTTCTGTCCTCTGAGTAGCGGCCTCTCCACCGTTTCTAAGGCCCAGGGAGGCTAGAGCAGGTGAGGCCATGTCTCTGGCCTTGGCAGTGCCCCCCCC